GTTAAACTTAAGATAAAAAGTACAATTGATAAATTTGTTTCGTCTTGTTTTTTTATAGGTTTTCAGGTCTCAAGATTATACAGCTGTCCTGTATTGTCTTAGACAGGTAATACATCATTTCCTATAATGAATTCATATTTATATTTGATAATAAGATGATCTCAAACCCGAGATTTTCCCTGCAGTTGTTTGAGAAAGTTGAAGTGGAGAAGCCACAAGCTAGTCGATCAGCTTCTGCTGAAATCTATGTTTTGGGTTTCAAGTATAAAGCACCTGCAAAGATTGATCCTCGTCTTCTTGATGTGAAGCATCTATTTCAGGGAGGAAAAGAACCGCCAAAGGTAATTTAACTCGCCTAGTCTAATTATAGCTCAATTACCCTTCATTTTCTTTTCTAGAATGATACTCATCCATGTAATATGCATGATTACAGATTGTGGATGTACTCAGAGGAACAAAGCAAAAGCGACACCGTGATGGGTACAATTTTTACATTTGTTAATATGCTGTTTGATTAGCTTGTAGCGTAACATACCAATATATTGGTATCTGATTAGGCTAAAAAAGTTTGTTCAATCAAATACATTTTTTATGTTTATTTTCTTTTGAGTGATCATGTAAGTTTCTTCAGTTGTGCTCACGAGGCATATATAATTACTGTTTCTGGAATTACTGTTAATTGCTCATTATATTTTCCTTTCAACCTTATTTTGTGGTAACAATGACTAATTCATAGCTGCCATTTTTTTAGCCAATATTTTTCCAACTAGAGATTTTCATAGGTTTTGAATTTTGATAATTCAATTTTCTTTGTTGTATGGTGGATNTATTTAAGTTTGTAGTCAGTAAGATGATAATCTTTGCAGGTATGAGGATGGAGACACTACTTTGAGAAAGTTGTGCTCTGCTTCAGACTTTATTTGGTCTGAATCTCCTCTTGACATCCTTGGTTCAGTCTCTTCCATAACCTTTAAAGATCCTGAAAGCTTGCCATTAAAAGATCATACTTTGACGACTGAAGAGGTGCTTTATTTATTAATTTATTTATTTCTTCCCTGGATAAATATTACTATCCTTCACTGTCCATTCAATGATTATGCTCACTCTTCAAATATGATACAGGTTAAAGCTCTATGTGATGATCTGCGTGTCCTGGGGAAGCAGGACTTCAAGCATCTTTTAAAGTAGTCCTGTGCTATATTAGTAACGACCAAACATCTTATAGATTCATTTTTCCAGATAGTAAATTTGTTTCCATCATCTTCCTTTGTCTTTTAGGTGGCGAATGAGTATTAGGAAGGCACTAACTCCTAAAGAGAAGTCCACCCCTGCTACCACTACTGCTGAACATGAGGGTAAGAAAGAAGAAGATGAAGATGAAAGAGTTCTTAACGAAATGGAAGAGCTCACAAATGCCATGGACCGCAAGAAGAAACGGGCTAAGAAAATTCTGGCAAAAAGACAAGCCAAGGTTTGCACCGTGTTCGCAAATCTGGCCCATATGATAAAAAAGTAGATGACATGGATTTAACCCAAGCTGGTTGATTGGTTCATTTCTGCAAAATGTCCATTCTTTAGTTTCATGCTATTGTCATCAAGCATTTTAGCCAAGGAGTTAATTTTTTGTGACTGACTGTTCTTTTATCTCTTGGGTTTCATCTCTAGCCTACTCCAACTAGCTTGGGACGAAAAGGCTATGTTGTTGTTGTTGTTGTTGTTGTTGTTGTTGACGACTGTTCTTTTATCTTATTTTACAGGACAAATCTCGGAAAGCATTGGGCAGGCAGATGGATGCAGTTGAGGATGGCTACTTTGATCAGGAACTATTCTCTCTGTCTTCTATCAAGGTTCGTCTATATGTTCTTTATTATTAGAAGCTATCTTTTGTAATATCCCTATTGACCTTTGCATTTCTGGGCGACTGTGATCACCGACTACTCATCTTCGCAGTTCAAGGAAAAAGATAAAATGAATGCCTAAGGGTGTGATTGGATATGGATTTGATTGGTCTTTTTGTTAACCATAGTTAATTTTGAAAAAGGTGGTATGGTTAGTTGTTAGTGGGAATTTAAGTTTAAATAGTGATGAATTAAAGACTTAAAGTTGATGTGATGTGTAAGAATGATTGGTTGATATTATTTAATTATATTGATAATATTGAAGATAGTGGGGTAGGGTTAAAGTTGAGTTAAATTTGAGTTTTAATTGGTTTTTTTACTAGTCTAGTTTATATCCAATCACACTCTAATTTACCCTTTTAACTTGATTTCAATTTATTGCCGAAATTTTTAAGTTTATGATATTCGATCTTTCTTCCAATTCTCATTCAGGAGAAGAAAAATCTTGCCGCTGTCGATAACAATGAATTTGACGATGATGCCGGTAACATTGGAGACAGTGAAAGTGAAGAAAGCCACGAGGCTAACGAAAACGTATCCAGTGATTTGGACTCTGAGGAAGAAAGGAAGCGGTAATTATCGCTCAAATTCCTTGTATCTAACTGTTGCTAAATAAATGCTCAACATACGCAATGTGCTTGAAAAATTGACAAGAATCTGTATTCAGCTATGATGAGCGAGTTGAAGAACTACTTGATGAGGCGTATGAGCATTTTGTGTCTAAAAGAGAAGGCAGCGCCAAACAGAGAAAGCGTTCAAAGCAAAAACACACTGAGGATGATCAAATTCTTGAGGTAAGAAACTTGTTCTATTCATGATGGCTATGGAAACTTATTTAAGAGTAAATACAGAACCCATGATATTCTGAAATCACAGAATACCCTCATAAATTATTGCAATATCTGCAATTGAGAGCTCATCTGTAAATCCTGAAAGATGGTTTGTTATCTTCTCGTGCTTTTTTCCTTTTACTCTTTTCTGCTGTGGGTGGAAGAGAATTAATCTTAAGTGCACACATTCATTTATTCATCTTAACCTAAATGTATTTAAATTTGTTCCGCAGGGTGATGATGATGAGACTACGTTACATTCAGATCAAGACTCGGATAATGACGGTGCTTCTCACGAAGCAAACCCACTCATGGTCCCACTTGACGAAAATACCCCCACCCAAGAGGAGATTGCAGTACAATGGTTTAGCCAAGATGTCTTCATGGATGGAGAAGACCAAGACAATGATCACCCGAACAATGAGGATAATAATAGTGAAGACGAAACAAAACTCGATTTTCCCGCCAAAAACCGAAAGCCCATCATAAACCAAACAAAAGATTCTCCCGAAAAAAATCCCATCAGTAATAAAAAAACTAATAATAATAATAATTTGCAGGAAGACGATGGTTTCGAAATAGTCCCGGCGCCGGCCACAGACTCGAGCGACTCGTCATCCGAGTCGTCCGACTCTGATGACGACGAAATCGAGACGAAAGCCGAGATTTTAGCCTGCGCGAAAAGAATGCTGACCAAAAAAAAGAGAGAGCAAATCCTAGACGATGCGTATAACAAGTACATGTTCCATGATGAAGGCCTGCCAAAGTGGTTCCTTGACGAGGAAAGGAGGCATCGCCAGCCCATCAAGCCCGTTACTAAGGAAGAGGTGGCCGCCATGCGGGCCCAGTTCAAGGAGATTGATGCCCGGCCCGCTAAGAAGGTGGCGGAGGCCAAGGCCCGTAAGAAGCGTGTGATGCATAGGAAGCTGGAGAAGGTCCGGAAAAAGGCAAACTCGATATCTGATCAGGCAGATATTTCTGATCGGTCGAAGAGGAAAATGATCGACCAGCTGTATAAGAAGGCGGCTCCTAAGAAGCCTGAAAGGGAATATGTGGTGGCGAAAAAGGGTGTTCAGGTGAAGACGGGTAAGGGGAAAGTGCTCGTTGATCGAAGAATGAAGAAGGATGCAAGAAAGCATGGGATGAGCAAGCAAGGGAAAGGGAAAGGGAATAAGGGGAAGCAAAAAGGTGGTAAGGGTTTGAAAAAGGGTTTTGGGAAAGGAAAGAAGGTGCAGAAAGGGTAGGTGTGTGTGGAGTGGGAAATGGAGTTTGATTTTGAAGGCGTTTGTTTCGTACTTTTTTGTGTTCTGCAGTTTTGGGATCTTTTTTTCTTTCGTTGCTCATGCCNGTTTGCTGTGATCGTGTGACGAGTATTTATACGGTATTGTGTTGCAAGCATTATAATTTAATCGAGTTGCCCAGCTATTTGAATGAAGAGTTGTGGTTGTAGGTAACAAATGAGATTAGTACACCTTTAGAGTTTAGAATCAATTATGATGTGCTGTGATTAGTTTTTTGTTAAATTAAATGAGTCTTGTTCGGCTCGAGCTCGGCTTATGAAGGCTCGAGTTTGGCTTGAGTCGTATGATAAACGAGCCAAGCTTGTCCTCATTTAAAACTTGTTTAGGGAGCTCGGCTCGATAAGGCTCGAAATAAGAAATTTATATAGTTTTTTATGGTTGGACTTGTTAAAACTCAAAACTGGCTTGTTAAAGTTTGAACTTGGTTCGTAATTAGTAATAAACGAGTTGAGCTCAAACTCGATTTCAGACTCGTTTATTTAATGAGTAGAACTCGACTTGTTAAGGTCTTGACCTCGAGCACCCTAAGATCGAGCTCGGTTTAGCTCGTTTATATTGCTAGATGTTATATAATTAGGTGATTGGGTATTTTCTCCCTAAAAAACATATTTTTTCTACAGTAATGCTAAGGAGTCAATTGTTGACTCCGTTACGGAGCCAACAATCAATGGGACAGCTCCATGTGAAGCTGTCCACATGGCTTCAATGTGGGACAACCCCACATGAAGCTGTTTCATTGGTTGTTGGCTCCTTAGCATTTCTGATTATTTCTATTATGAAATAGTAAAAGTTGATCATTTGAACGGATTTTTTTTTGTTAAAAATTCCATGAGAAAGTAATCGAGCATGATTGACAGCTGAACAATTTATGATTCAAGAGATTGTTACTGAAGCAAACAGGGGCAACAGGACAGGATATCCCAATTTCAGACACTACAGATTTGCAAACAGGCCAAGAGAATATCCCAATTTCAGACATATTTGTCAAGCATTTCATCCACTGTGGCATATCTAACATCGGGATAAAGCTCCGAGGCCTCAACTCCAAACGAGGGCTCGATTTCAAAGTTCGTCTGATCCCCCTTTACAAACACAGAGTGGCAGATTGCTAATCTCACATTCATTGGGACCGAGGCTTCTGCAGTACGCACGATCAACAAATCCGCAAATTAATGGATAAATAAAACAGCATTATTCTAAAATCCACCACATAAACAAATTAGCACACAAGTCATAATACTTTTAAGGAAGTTTTCCTCTTGCCTTGAATGTCTTTCAGAACTTGTTCCTCAGGGATGTACTTCCTTTCGAGTTTTACGCCACATTTATTCTCCCACAAGGTCGTGAGTTCGTTTAGGGAGATAGAGTTGTGAAGAGGTCTAATGTAGAGGATCTTGTTCAGGGTTCTGAGATCGTCCACAGCCTTAATCGTGTACGTGGCAATATCTTCTTCCTTGTTATACACAGCTTGATACGACAAAAAATGCAAAAAAATTAAGGGCTGATTGAATACAAAAATTTTCACTCCAAATTTCATCCAACTCAAAATATAACTCAACTTAACTCAACTCCACTATCCTCACTAGTCAATATTATCAATATAAATACATAATACCACTCAATTATTCTTACACATCACATATACTTAAATTCACTATTCATCCACTAACATAATTTTAACTAACCATCACTTCATATAATCTCTCTCCTACTTTTGCACCAAATCAACTTTAATTAATTTATTTTAAATATTATTTTAATATAAACTCAAAATCTCACTAACAACTAACTAACAACTAACCATACCAGTTTTTTTCAAATTAACTATGGTTAACTAAAATAATCCACTTTAGGTGAAAATTTTTGTATCTAATCAAGCCATAAGTTGGTCCGAGAAATGTACAAGCGAGCAACTTGCTTCATGATTTGAATTTTGCACCAAATCCCACAGGTAAAGTCCAAATAATACTGGTTAAATCACACATATTCAAAGCAACTGAAAAATATCAAGCTATATTGGATAAATTTTGAATCCATATTATGTTACCTTTTGTGTTGCCATCCCCGAATATTACAACTTTATCCCTTGGTGGGGCAGATGCATCTAGCTGTGCCAGTGTTTTAAGATATATACCGGCAAATAAATTGCTCGAGACATATGTGTAAGGGACTCCCGAAGCTTCCACCAAACGGCGGAATTGGGCCTTTTTCCCGAATGTCGACTTTGCGGGCTCCACAGCATGGACACGGTCCACATCATTACCAAATTCCGAAGGAAAGAATCTCTATAACCAATATAAGGTTGTGTTTGGTAAGCATATAAGCTAAGGTAGCTTATAGCTTATTTGATTAGCTTATAAGCTTCCTTGGGTATTCAAATAAGCGTGGTTTGGTAGGCCAAACTTTTTTCAAAAAGCTCACGCTTATCTCATAAGCTTCCTTGGGTAGCTTTTTAAATAAGCCTATTGAAATTTTTATTTCAACTAACTTATAGCTAATTTTACCACTTTTATCATCATCTAAGCTAGCCTTTTCACCATATGTCATAAGCTATTAGCTATACGCTCGAAATTCACTTAAAAAAAGCAGGTCTACCAAACATAGCCTACGACACCGAAAGAACGAGCATGGTTTAAAGATTGTGGACTAGAAAGTGGTATTATGAGTGGTTTACAAAACCGAATGCACATACGTACAATCACACATAAGAAACGGCCTCAAAATTGTAGAAATATTGACTAATAATCGTGCTGTGACCTTTTTCCTAAACTCTTTCCATTATTCCATATGATTTTACGTTTTAAAATTTTATTTTTTAGAAACCACTCGTGTTTTTTCAACCACCAGCCAAACCAAATTCAACCGCGAGTTTACTAATGAAAAACAACGTTATCAATCAACATTGCCTCTTGCATTTACTAATCATGAATAGTCGAATAGCCATTTCGCTAAACGAGAATGTTCAACAATTGCACTTAATTTGATCTCAAAGAATCCAACTTTCGAAATCCATTTTCAACTTTTCCCAACATTCTCCACACTATTCCACATATGAATCTTACTCCTGAACAGTTAACTCGACTCGGATTTTAAAGCATAACAAGAATTTGAGAAGACTCGTATGAATCGATTACCTTCAAGTTTACGTTCTACTTTCTTTCGTACTTCAGTAGAAAATTCTTTACCTTCACATTTCCAGCTTCCCTAATAGCAGCTAGAATCTTGTCTTGATCGTTCAACTGAGCATAGCCAACAGCAGATATAACTACATCCACCTGCTTTATAGCTTTCACCAAGCTCTCGTGATCGTACAAATCTCCCTACACAAAGCAATGATAAGTATTTAAATAAATAAAAAAAACAACAGAAATCAAAATTTTCAAGTTGCATAATCGAATTCGCAGCAACCCTAAATTCCAACACGAACGCCATGACTGTGATTTTTTTTTTGCAGAATTTGATAGTCTCAGTAAAATTGAACTCCAGAAACAAATTAAATCGGATTTTTGAATGAATAGGACAGTGAGAATTGAGCTCACGATGATGAAATTGACGCCGGAATTTCTGAAGCTGTGGATGAGATCGGCTTTTGGAGGGGCAGGGTTAGAGAGAGTGGACTCTCGGACTAGAACGGAGGTCGGGTGGCCGGCATCGGCGCTGGCCTGAACGATGAATTTCCCGATGTATCCGGTGGCGCCGATGATCAAAATCTTACTTTTTCCGGCCATTATTTTCTGAACGATTAATTTTCCGTTGTATCTCAGTGACAAAATGGAGAGAGAATTAAAAATAAATTGATCCCCAAATTGCAAAGGTTATTCATTAAATTAGTTTATCGCAATTGGACCCCAAAATCTTTAAAAATTAACATTGACTACGTAATTGATGAAAAAAAAAAACACGATCTCATAAAATATTAACTGGTCCTAACAATTACAAATTGGTCATGAATATTATTTATGATAGGAGTAGTCCCGTTTATTTGAATATTAGGAATTAATGTCATATATAAAAGTCATAAAAAAAATAAAAAAATATTGTTTTTAGTATACATTGAGTCATTGACTCATTGCAAATTCTTATGATTTTTCTTAAAAAAATGAATCTCCGAGTTTACTTTAACCAAATAAACAATAAATAATTTGACAGGCAACGATTACCGGAACATTTTTAAGCTTTACTCAATTTGAAAAGAAAAAAAGGCAAAAGAAAAATAGCAAATATTCGAGGTCGACTTGAATTTTGCTCGAGTTTGGCTCAAAAATTAAATTGAATTTTGCTCGAGTTTAGTTCATTAAAAAAATATCGTTAGAGGTATTACAATAATTTTTTTTATACATGAGAGACGCGTCAAACACTTGAGGTTACATACTACTGGCTCGAGCTCAACTTTAACTCAAGTAAAGCAAGTAAAGCATTGACACTAGTGCTCGTGAGCAGGTCAATTCAATTGTTTGCAGCGCTAATTATCACTATATGTTATTTCCATTTAAGTCCCTTTCACAATATATAAAATGCAAAACACAAAATGTTGCTGTGAAAGTGTAGACATGGAAACTTTTTAACAAAAAATGCATCGATATTCATTAGTTCACTATTTATTCACGATACTTACTATCGGTAGGCAACTCGATCCATCATAACTTTTTAACAAAAATGCATCGATATTCATTAGTTCACTATTTATTCAAAATGATTCATGGCAAATGCAATAAAAACTTCAATACATCCCAATTCCAGCCTAAATAACAAAATACAAAAGGTTACTGTGAAAGTGTAGACATGGAATAATTTGCTCAAACCAAACCCCTCTTTTCCTTATAAGTTATAACATACAAAAAAATAATCAAGGAAGNAAAAAAAAAAAAAAAAAAATGAAAATACCATCTTTATAACAATGTACCTAAGTATTCACTTATAGTGGTGTATTTGATATGTGGATACAGCTTTGTTCCTTCTACTCCGCCAGATGAGTTTATGTCAAAGTACGTTTGGTCTCCCTTTACAAATGCTGAGTATATGAAAACCATCTGCATATTGTCTGGGTATGGAGTTTCTGAAATTCAAACAAGCCAAATATTTTTTTCGTATAAATTTTAGCAAATTATACACAACAATTCAAAACCATCAGTCGATTGAAATTGCAAAAGACAAAGCCACAACATTTACACCTCGCATGTGTTTTTGCTGCTTAATTCTTCAAACGACACTAATTCTTTAAGACTACTATGCTTATGTTTGGTAAAACTATAAGCTAGCTTGTAGCTTATAAGTGATTTTCGAACATATAACTTATGACTTATAGCTGAAAAACTATATGATAAAAGTGTTTGGAAAAATTAGTTGATAAGCTAGCTGAAACAAAAATTTCAAGGAGCTTATTCGAAAAGCTACCAAAGAAGCTTACGAGATAAGCTCAAGCTTTTTAAAAAAGCCCATCCTACAAAATGAAGCTTATTTGAATACAGAAAGCTTATACGCTAACCAACTAAGCTATAAGTTAGTTTATTTGGTTACCAAACATAGCCTAAAACATATAAATATCTATTTGATGTCCGCATTATCTAACAAATATACATGTAAAGGAGAAGCCCACGTGANAATCTTTCGTAAATAAAAGGCAGCGGAACATATTCCATTGTTATTAATTGATTTTGATATTAGTTGCTAATGTTCAAATGATAAACCCAAGATGCGAAACTTGAGAACAATTGCTTTACTCAAATCAACATTACCATGAATTTTCTTTAGAAGCATTTCCTCCGAGATGTAACTCCTCTCCAAACGGCTCCCGATTTTTTCCTCCCAAATAGTAACCAGCTCATTCATGGAAAGAGTGTTGCCAGGTGGCCTCAAGTACATCACCTTATTCAACGTGCGTAAATCGTCAACAGTGCTAATCGTGAAGGCAGCAACATCACTTTCCTTCACAAATACACCTGCAAAAAGTAAATCATTTAGTGTGTGAATGTGTAGAAAGATTATGCTGAATCTTTGAAAATTGAAACCGAGTAATTTCAATTACAAGACCTTTAACATTCCCATCTCCAAATATAGTGACTTTATCCGTCGGAGGGCTTTGAAGGCCCGGCTGCACGAGAGAAGGAAGAAAGTAGCTTGTGTAGAAATTGCAGCAAACGTAAGTGTAAGGAATGCCTTGGGCTTCAACGAGTCGCCTGATCTCGGCTTTTTTCGAGTAGAAGTTGTTGTCCAAATGCGAAACCCGGGTTTTGTCGGGATCCATTCCGAATTCCGATGGGAAAAACCTCTGCATTATTCCAATTTAGATATTTATAGGACATAAAATAGCTAAATTGGATTGAACTCACAAACACAAGCATTTTGGATCAATCAATAATGTGTCTAAAAGTGAAAATCAGAAGCAACCACTTGATTTTATCATTTTTTCCTCAACCAAAACCAGATTTTTTCCCCTAAAACAAATTGTACAATGAGAATTTATGGGACATAAAATAGCCAAATAGGATTGAAATCACAAGCACAAACATTTTGGATCAACAATTATGTGTATGAAAGTGAAAATCAGAAGCGAACACTTTATTTTTACATTTTTGCTCAACCAAAACCAGATTTTTTTTAATATTTTTTTTTTTCCAAAAACAAATTGTACAATGAGAATCTGAGACTCTAATCCATGTTTTTTTTCCTTCTAAACTTGGGACAATGCGTAAACACACAAAAATGATGAACCTTAATGCAACCAGCACGTTTGATGGCCGCAATCAGAGGCTTCTGATCAAGGACTTGCTTCGCCGCCACGGAACAAATCACAACATCAACTTTTCCAAGGGCTTCCATTAAAATCTCCTCATCTTGCAACGAACCCTAATAAGTATCGTGATAAAAATCGAAACTCTACCGAAATTACAGAGTAAAAGCAAAAAAAAAAAGAGAAAAAGAAATTGGAGCAAGTAAAAGTTCGAGAGTGTTTTTCCGATGTACTTTGATAATCTCCAGGCCGGCACTAGAGAGGATTTGGAGTTTCTGGAGCTTATTCGGGTCGGAAAATGCGGGGACCCGTACGAGCCCGAAGGTCCGATGCGATGCGTCTAGGCTGGCTTTCGCGAGCTCGAATCCGAGGTTACCTGTAACTCCGATGATCAGTATTCTGCTCTTGACGTCCGCCATTTACGGGGCGGCGCCGGCGGCGGTAAGCGGTGGTGCGTCGGAGGGGGAATAGTGGAACGAGATCTAAACTCGACTGACCTGAGCTAAAGCTTCAATTAGCTCGTTTGATTAACGAGTCGATCAACTTAGCTCGATAAGCTTGAACTCGGCTTGGATAGTAGTTTATACTATTATTTAGATCTGAAAAATTTTTAATTTTTTATTAGATATAAAAGTTCATAATTCTCTCTTTTTTGTTTATGGTTTTTATTCTCTCTCTCGTTTTTTTTTTTTTTTTTNACTAAATATCATTCTGCCCAGCAATGTATATGATTTTAATTAGTAAAAATCAGAACTCATGTGCATAATATAAAGTAAATAAACTTCAAAATTAAACAAATTGAGATTTCATTTTTCATCAAATATCAATACACTTACAGAAGACTTGGAACAAATCCAATAAACACAAATCATTGTTTGAATTTTGATTACTCTCTTGAAAACAAATATGAAATATTATCACACAGTTAAAAGTTGTATACAGTTTTTTCTCCTCCCCTCTTTAAGTCCTTCACCCAATTAACAAATTTCTCTTGAGATAGTTTTATCATGAAACTTTGTGTCAGTCTCTAACAAGCTGGAAGATCTTTTGGTGGAGGCAAAACTGAATGTTCTTCATCAGGTCCATTTTCCACCACAAATGCTGTCTTCAATCCCCACCCTGTATGAACCTCCAAGTGACAATGGAAAAACCACACACCTACAACAAAATCAAGAAAATCAAGAAAGATCATAACTTTTCTTGAAATTNTAAAAAAAAAAAAAAAAAAAAAAAATATCACATTACCTGGATTATCAGCCCTGAATCTTATGGCAGCCCATCCACCAGTTGGCACGCTGACCGTATTCCTCTCTGGCGGGTCGACCAAGTTGTACTTCTTTGGGTCGTTAACCGGGTCGAAATTCCCGATTCCCATCCCTAACACGAAGAAGTTGTAACCGTGTAGATGAAACGGGTGTGACTCGACCGTCAAAAGATTCGTATCTTGCACCACGAGTTCGACCGTCGAATTGAACTTTATCCTACTTATCCTTGGCCGCGGGCCCACATTCGTCTGAAGATTCGCCGTCAGAGGAGCCCCCGTGTAGTTAAACGGGATCGTGGGGCGATCGGGAAAATCGGCCGTGTAAACATCTCGTAGTTTGTAGTAATGCGCTTGCAGAAGCGCGGTTTTCGGCATCACGAAAGTTATGTTGTTCAACGAGGCCACGATCTTAGTCCCGTTTAGGCACGTCGGGCACGGGTTTATCCCGAGCCCGATCGTGTAGAGCAGGTGCCGGTCGACCGACAGCGGCACGTTCGCCGGGAAATTCGGAGAGTTCAAGCTCCGGAGCTTCGAAGTGTAGGCTAAGGGGAAGGAGGAGTCGTTTTGCGAGGGTAATTTGGGTAGTGTGGGGAATACGGTGGTCGGGACGCCTTTGTATTGGAGTATGGCGGTCGCGGTTTTGTTGTCGACCGAGATCAGGGGGACGTCCATAAAGGGTCGGGCCGCGATGAAGTAGCGGCCAGGGGCCCGATTGGCGTGGACGAGCACGTTCGTTGTTTGGCCGGGGGCGATGAGGATGGAGTCGGTCGGGAAGGGCTTCGTGTAGACGGCGTCGATTTCGACGACCGTCAGCATGTGGCCGGCGACCGCGAAGAAGAGCTCGTCGTTGAGTGCCGCGTTGACGATGCGGAGTAGGTACGTTTTGCCTTGCTCGACTTCGATCGCGTAAGTATCTATATACATTAAAAAATGACACGATTATAAAAAGATAATAAAAAATAGCTACTTTTTTGTAGAAGTATGAAATAACATCCATTTTGTCACGTGAAATGACATGATTACCCTTACTATCAAAATAAAATTCAGTTTTTTTTTTGTAGTAAGGACAATTGTGTCATTTTTCTCTATACTTCTACAAGGAAGTGACTCTATTTCATCTTTGTATTACTATTTGCTACTTGGCTATAAAATCAATAGACTGGCCGAATATTTAGTGTAGAAATCGAAGGCATTGTGCGTTTTTTGTGTTCGGCTTTACATTTCTCGGAGCACGGGAAGAGTGGGCCCGGCTTGCCGTTGATGGTGTGCGCGTCCGAGAGTTTCGGTGGAACACCGAGCTTTTCTCCTTGTTTGACCAGGGTCTCGACATCCTCGTTCCACCATTCCCCTGTTTTTTTTCGAGCGCAAAACGTGTTCAAAAACAGAATTTACGAAACCCAAAAGATCACCAAACACTTGTGTAAAAAAGATTATACCTAATACTAGGTTGTGTTCATAATCGGGCTGCGGAAAAGGATACGGTTTTCCTTGCTCGGGCATTATTACGATGGCGCCATAAACGGTGGCTCTTAGCCACAAGATATGCGCGTGCCACCACAAAGTTCCTCTTTGTCCCGTCACATTGAAATCGTAAGTGTAGCTTCGGCCCGTTTGAATCGGGCATTGCGTCACGTATGCGGGCCCGTCTGCCCAACCGTTGCGAAATTGCTTCAATCCGTGCCTACTCAAAAAAAATAAATAAATAAAATAAAAAAAACGCGACTTAGCGCAAAAATAACACATTCGAGTTACTTTTGAAGATGAAAAAAATGTATCAATTTTTTCTTTTTTTTTTTACCAGTGAATCGACATGTTGTACTGCGCGGAATTAGTGACGTTGATTATAACACGATCGCCTTCTCTGGCGTAGACTGTGGGCCCGGGAAATTGTCCGTTAACCGTGACAATCGGCTTCGCATGGCACAATCTGCTCACATTGTTTACTTGAATCTGAAAAAACAAATAAATCAATAAATAAAAATACAAAATCCGAGCGGAAAATTAACAAGTTTCGTTTTTAGTTACTAACGTTGAATTGATATTTTTTCACTGCAGCATTGGTTGGAGTCGAGACGTAAAGGAACACGAGAAGTAGAGAAACAACCGAGCGGAAAATGTTTCGATTCCCCATTTGCGAATTTTTTCGACTATTTTCTAAGTAAAAGAAAAAAATGTGATCAAACTTGTGTAAGTTCTTATGACATGGAAGAAAGTAAACATGTTTAGACATTTTTATAGTATGGTGTAAAGATTATGGTTTTGCATAAGCCATCTGTTTTTGCTGGTTTGGTGCAGACCAAAGCTTAAAAGCAATATACTGAAAGAGACTTGAAATTGACTTAAGGGAGAAAAAAATGTAGAGGGGAAAATGCTAATTTGTTGTACATATTAAGATATAAAGCATATTGAAAAACAAATGCTAGAGAGCCAACTAAGGCTCTGAGCTTTACCTTTAAGAATAAGTATTTATTTTATTTTATTTTTTGCCCATTTTTTTACTAGTTTTGTTTTGTGACTTGGAGACTTGGAGTGTGGATTTTGCTATTGTTGTGTTCTGTATAAATTTGTTATACTTGCCATTAGGTGCAAAGGATAGAGATGGTATCTTGTGTATTACATGTGAGAGAAGAGAAAATATGATAGCTGACAAATTATCTGAATTTTAGTTAGTTTTGAATGTTATGTAGTTATGGGTTAAGATTCTGATTTCACCATCATTAGTATAGTCTACTACAGCATCTTCTACCTGCACAGGCCAACCATCACATTATCAACAAAAATATGCATACTTATAAATGTTATAGTTTGTTTACTTTATTTATTAAAGTAGGATATTTTGTGATGCATGATATTTTGTAATGAAAGTATCCGTTAACAGAAGAATTACTGAATTTCATATTAATCCACTTCACAATGTGTTGAATTTCCAATCGTCATAAGTTTAACAATCAACAAATCCGTGTTTATTTTCAGCACACGACTAAGTTTAACAATTAACGATCCAATGTTTTTATTTTTTATTTTTTATCACACGTGAAGTTATATAGAATGAAACGCGAAATGTGATACGTGAAGCAATTTCAATTCCATTTTAGTCATTTCTTTAAAATATTTTTGGTTTGGGTTACAATTATGACTAAGTAGTATTTTGAAGAGGATTTAACATGAAAAAAACAATGTGAAGGTCGTTTTATTGTTGTACCTTAGAAAATACTTTGAAGACTTCAGAAAGTTGTTATCAGATTTCTACACGAAGTCTCCTAACTTGTTTCGCCTATTTACGCTTACGATGACCTTTAGTTAGGAACTTTCTATTTACTCCATTTTATAGAGCTCTACATTTATATTAGGGTCTATTTGTTCTTGTGGTATGTGTTTTTGTGGAGTCCAGGGCCAATGCAAGTAATAGGCTATTTTTGCTCAAAGCCCAAGTTTTTTCGGCCTTTTAATATAAAAGCTAAGGACTACTTTCATTGGCCTTTCATTTGGGCCCGATTTATAGAATCAAAATCCTGAAATTTAACGGTTCAAAAATAGAGATCGATTCAACTAGTGAAAACCAAAGCTCAAATCGCTCGCTTGCTTAATGAATCAAACTTGAACAATTAATCGAGCTCGTTTACTAGACAAGTCGAGTTAAATTTAATCATGAATAACCCTTTTTTTATTTTTATGGATCATAAATGAACAATCGAGTAAATTTCGTTAGCAAACAAACATTTTATATTCACGACCAGTCCATATAAGGGTTTTAAGGTTTATTAAACAAATCGAGACGAGCAGAACTAAACTTTCACGAGCTACGAGTCAAGCTCGAATTTGACTCGTTAATTAATTCAGCATGATCTCGAAGATGAACTACTCGGCTCATCAATTGACGCATAAACAATAAATAATTAAGGTTGGATTGAATATAATTTTTTTTTTATTTTTTATTTTCCTTCCATATAAATAAATGAAAATATATATATATATATATTTAAATTGAGATTGATTTGAAATTGTGGACAAACATTCAATAGAGTGTAATAATTAAATAATTTAAAATAAAAAATAAAATATTTAATTGATAAAATCAATATTCATAACATATTGAGTGATGAATAGTGTACTCAATTAAGGATTTATGTTAGTTGACCATATTACCCCTATCTCTTCATTATCTATATAATTAAGGAGGAAACATGAAGGTAAGAATATAATCTTGTGTAATATGATACATTAGTGAGGAGAAACATCTCTAATTTAATCAATCTTCCTTGAGCTCCTTCCCCTACATTTCCCCCAACTTACTTTCACTATTTTCAAATGATTTCATTTCTCAATTTGTTATTCGTTGTGTATTTTTATTTTCTCACGTATATTTAAGGCTATACGGATTTTCCTCATTTTTCTCAAATTTTCAATATTCACTTTTGTTGACTTGCATTGTGTTTGACCCGAGTTCTCTTATTGGTATTGGGTATATATATGACATTAATTCCCGACTAACAACATAATATTATTGTTAGGTTGTTTAACCATCAGGCGACCATATTTTTATACGAAACGTTCATATTATTCTATTAAATTTCATACTTTTATTTACACTGTATTTTAAAGTATGACATTTAGTATGAAACTATATCAATATATTAACAGTACTCTAATAGAAGAATTATAATTCTCCAAATATTATAAATCAGATTTTCAAAGATCTTTAAATTCTTAGAGGAGTGTATGTTCTTTAATGTTGGAATTACGTTGCAACGAGCAAATGTTGGGAGTTAATATGCAATTTAGCATTTTTATTTTTTCTTTTTAAGGACAATAATAAAATGAATATAGCAAGACAGCTGTTGGGCTGTACTGCATGCTTGGAGCCCAACTCAAGAGAATCTTTTAACGCTAGGCCCTTTAAAGCCTTTTGTTAACAGTAAACTAGAAAGTGATTAAAGATGTGAATGGGCCCATGAAACCGAACAGGCGCTGAAATTCGCTTTCATTTCTTTTTCCCATTTCTTTAACTCATGTATTCCAACAAATATAGTAAACATAAATTCAACAGTCACATTATTTTGCGAACGGTGGAACTTGTAGTTCTCCATTTTATNGCTTGAAATATAATTGAAGTGGAAATTGTGATGTATTTTACAAATAAAAATTGTTCTGACCTAATAATTGAATTAGTTCAACTAGTTGAGCTCAATCGTGCAAGGAACACATGCAACTATTGAAAGTTAGTGATTGAAAAGCGCTATATGAGTTTGCAAATATCCTCAACAATTGTTTGTATTTGAACCAATTGCCATGTAGCATGCATGCGAAATTGGTGTCAAACTTTCACTTATTATTAATGTCCACATAATTGATGGAAGTCTTTTCATCAACTGGAAAAAAGGGCTTCTCATTTTTCCTTTCTAAAGATTCATCATTGCTTGTGATGCTCAATCGTGCAACTCTAACTTCAATTGGTCAACCAATCTTATGATTTTTGTTCAGAAGCTAGTCACAAGATTAATGATAATAAAACAAAAGGATAAATCATTGTTAAACCTTGTCACAAGTAGAGCTGCAAACGAATCGAGTCAAGTCAACCAATCGTTTGCTGATTGAACTGCTCGAGCTCGACTTGAGATTGAGTTTGACCGAGCTCAAGTCGAATATTGACTCGAGCGCTCGTACGCAGCTTGTGAGTTTCTCGACTCGTTTGCAACCATAGTCACAAGACTCGACGAGCACATAGATTATTACTGTCCCTTAATTATAACCTTATAAGTCTTAATGTTTTAATTAATGTATACTATATAATTGTCAGTTTCTCAAGCTCAATTGTATGTTTTCTTTTACAAATTATTGTATGAGTCAGACCTATACGTTGGGCGGATGTCATTTTTCTTAAATAAAAAATACATACTTATACAATTATACTAGCAATATAATATTTTTATTTATGTTGTTTTTTAAGAGTATTACAATTTAGAAGTATGGATATATAATATCCATAATATTATGATTATCTAACGTGAGCCCTACTAACATAAACAACCTTTATTAGATTTGAATTAATATAATATAAAATTAGAATGACCAATATATATAATCAATCCCAATTCCCAACCTAGCTAGTTGGTTTCTGCATGGCTCTACTAGAATTTATATTAAAGTTAGCTACAAAAAATAGATAAAAGTGTACCACTTCTTCAGAAATGATAATCCAATACAAGAAGTTGACTGAAAAAATGTCCACATATGTTTGCTCTCCATGAAAAATTATTGAATCAACACACACTTATATGTGTACAAAAGAAAGTGCAATCCTATAGTAAAAGTTCCGATTAGAATTACCTTCACCAGTAGGGTCGAATTTTGCCGGTCTCCATGAAGATCATTGGGCCTTTTACATGTCTTTTCTACAACAGTACCCACAACAAAAG